CGTGCTTTACTCTCGCGCTGCTCCATGTGGCAAATCGAGCGCACCGCTCTGCATTTCGAATACCTGTCACAACAATTAAGAAGAGAACCCGAGGGAAGCTCGGAAAGCTAAGTAGAAGTTATTTGGAGAGGAGAGTGACTGCCATTGGTTGAACAGAGAGGTAAAAAAAACTTCAGTGGTGTGGAAACATTATGGGTTCGCGGAGTCATAGACATAGTGTGTAAACTTTGCTACAGTGTCGTAGCTGCACCACAGAGCAACACTGCAAAATTCACTAAACATAGATGTTTACATTTTTCATTTATTTCTTATATTGCAAACATTTGCACTGCATCAGTATTTGCACACTATTTTATATTATTTTTTGACAATCTTTAAAGTCATTATTCAATACATTGTTATTGTTAAATAAATATCGTCAAATAATCGAGATCTCAATTTCAGTGAAAATAATCATGATTATCATTTTTGCCATAATCGAGCAGCCCTAGTGCAACACAATGATCTATGCTAACCTGAACAAGGAAGTATCTTCTGCAGAATGTATTCGTGTTGATAACAGCTGATGACACTTTGCATAGGATATCATTGAAAGACCATCTGTTATCAGCCAGCTCACACAGCACACCACACATATATACACTCGTAAACAGGAGCACCATTGCACATGAAAATAATTGCAAATGCAAAAAATGAATTTCTGATGCAAATCCCAGAAGATTAGTTCTGTAGCTGCAGAATTACCAGAAACTGCAAAACAACTGCAAAAAAACCAAAACAAAACAAAACAAAAAACCAAACCAAACCAAACCAGTGGTGCCTGTCAGTTGCTCAGATGGTAGCTGTCAGCTTTATGCAGGTTACACATAGATTTACACACTCTGCTCCCAGGTAAGTCACCTAGTATGATAGCCACAACCCTAATAATCCTATTTGGATGATATGAGTCAGTGGCAGAAACACAATCATATAATAATGAAAAACAAATCAACAACCCAAGCAGAAAACTTAGTTTATCAGTTCCCAGAGTCAGAACCAGACACGGAGAAGCTGCATTCAGCTTTTATGCTCCTTATATCTGGAACAAACTCCCAGAAAGCCTCAGATCAGCTGAAACACTCAGTTTATTTAAGTCCAGGTTGAAGACTCACCTATTCTCAGCTGCATTTGAATAAAGCACCAAATCCACACTTTAAGCTTAAATTTCAAAACTTACATTTAACTACTGATTTTATCTACTGTTCTGATTTTATCTGTTTTGATTTTATATACTGTTGTTTGTTTGTTTGTTTGTTTGTTTGTTAATTAGTTAGTTAGTTTATTTGCTTGTTTTATTCAATTTTAAATCATGCTTTTTATTTGTTCTTGTTTCTAATGTCTCTGTAAAGCACTTTGAATCACCTTGTTGTTGAATTGTGCTATACAAATAAACTTGCCTTGCCTTGCCTTGCCTTTAAAACCCTTCTAGCAAAATAAGTTTTTTAAGTTATGGAAGCTGCTATAGCGTCTTCTCTCTAAGATCACACCTTACGCTGCCAATGTAAGAATATATATATGAACACAAAGGCTCCTAATGCTTGAATGAATAATTGCCAGTTTAATTTTTCAAACTTTAAGGCTTTTTTCACTGCTTGAAGAATTCCTTTGTCCTGTTCTGGAAGCTTTTCCCAATAATGACGTGGAGAATGGGGATAAGGACACTGTTGAAGAAGAGTAAGTACATGGAGACCTCTTGGATGATTACAAGTATGATGTGACATTTCAGCAACACTAGTAACGATGCCACGTGGACTGGCACCCAGCAGATAAGGTATGACAGTACAACTGCCAGGATGAGAGTCGTGGTCTTCTGCTCTGTTCTCTCAGGTTTTAAAACCCCCATTAGCCTTTTTCTCAGAATTTGAATAATTCTGACAGCGCAGAACGAAATAATGACAACAGGGATGATAAAGTTGAATATTATGTCTCTCACCTCATACAGCAGATATTGATCTAGTGAAGTGGAGTCGAGTGTACATTCAGTTGTATTTGACTGAGGGTTGAATTCTAACTTAATGATGATGAATATGGGGAGAGCAAAGACCAAACCAAAACTCCACACAAACAGACATCCCACTTTGGCATAAAATGGCCTGCTCATCAACTCGTGGAAAAGTGGGTGCACCAGTGCCACATAACAATCTAAGATAGCCAGAACAAGAAAGTAGATATTGCAACATGTACTCATTCTTATAACAGCTGGTATCAGCTTGCACAGGCTTTCACTAAAAGGCCAGTCATAGTTGGCTCTTGCATCATCAACCCAGAAGGGCAAACAGCACACCAGAAGAAGCTGAGTTCCAGTCAGCTTGCTCAAGTGGATCTCAGTCACAGTGCAGGCCTTCTTGTGGAGGCAGAAAACCATCAGCACAAAGGCATTAAAGATGAATCGAAGCACACTGATGACATAAACCGGAGCCATAGCGATGATTATGTTATTGTTGTCAACAAAGATGTAATCACAATGGTCTTCACTTGTGTTGCTTTGGTTTCCGGACATCTTCAGTGTCAGGAATTAAGTTGGCAGGGATGCTGGAGTGAAATAAAGGATACCAAAATAGGAAACATAAATATAATTTTAACTGGTATTGTTCTAACATAATTTGTTATGATGACAGAAAATATAGAGATGCAATTCTGAATAAGACTGTTATATAACTAACAGGCTTCAGACCCTGAGTGACCTGAATTGGAATAGGAGAAGAAAATGGATAGGTTGATAGTATTTGATTCAATTTTAAAGACCATCATCATATTAGAAAACATGCATAACCAATGCACAATTTAAATCATATTAAGAGCTGAGCGTGCTTTCCAGCATCATAGAGTCATCGCCACAACACCAGCTACATAAAACAAGTTCACAAGTTTTATTATGCTTTTTGGGGGAAGTCTGTATTAAATACACTTTCGTTTGTGCTAAATACATTACTATAAACGTTCTTACTGCATGAGGCTGAATTTGATCAAAACACAAAACATGCTGAGACAAAATCAGTTAATCTGCCGTCTACTTGTCGACACGTTACAGTACACCTAAGAACATCACTGCTTCCAAAACCTGTGCAGCTGTTAAACTGAAGAAATTTCCTTTTTTATACAGATAGTGCCAAAAAGTCAAAAACACTGTTCCTGATGGACAGTGATTTAGACCTTGCAAATATTCCAACTAAAGGTAAAGACATATCTTGCAGGCAAATTGGTCTGTGCTCCTAATGGAAAAAGAGCAAACAGCCAGCTACACTCTCTCAGTACCTTCTGCTACAGTCTTCTTTCTGAAATGCTTAATTTAAAGAAGAAACTAAACTGATAGTCAAGTGATTTCAGATAAGAGAGACATCACACCCAGGCTATGACCACTTCCTTTACTCTTCACTGAAGTCCTTAGTTACTTCTAAACATTTTTTTCTCTGGGTTGATTTTATAAACAAAAATGACCCTATTATGGACAGAGAAAATTTTCCATTTATTAACTTAATGCCAACATGTTAGACGCTGTCGTTATCGATTAAAATACACAGGAGACTTTTAACGACATGTCTATTCCAAACTACAGATCCTGATTCATTTTGACTGCAGGAAAGACCTGGAAAAACTTTCAGGCTTTCACCTTTAACAGGTGTTTTTTAAGATATTTGTGTTGAAACATGACAAAAATGCCTGGATGTCTGCCAGTGCATCATTTTAAAAATATAGTCAATATCTTGAAATGAATTTGATATGCTACTTCAAAGCACATTGTGTGCTGTCTGTCCTGCGTGCTGCATAACAACAACAATATTTAGTATTTACTGCTGTTTACACTTAGCTAGATTAATGCGATGGTGTTGTGTTTAGTATGTTGCTTTGTTTTTTTTGCTTGTTTTCTATTCTTTCTCTCTCAACAGGTGATCCAGGAGATTTTTTTTCCCCTTTCTCACTGTCCCTCTTCCCTTCTGTTTTTCTTTTCCTTCCTCTCTTTTTTTCTCCCTTTCCTATCCCTCACTCATGTCTGTCCCGTCTGTAACAACTGAAAATAAAATAAAATAAATAATAAAAACAAAGGTCGATCAAATGGACCAATACGGCAATGCCATGATGATCCATTTGGCAAAATAAATCCATTGGACAACAATTCTGAAGGCTAAAGAACCAAATGGGACAGGCAAAAAAACAAAAACAAATACAAAACAAAAGAAAGAAATGAATTTGATATATAAGGCTAGAAATTCACAGCAATCATTTAAGTTCATTATATATTTTGAAACTTTGAGTCATAACATTTTTATTCAATTCAGATATGGTCGAGCAGAAGGCCCACGTTGATTTGAGATGGGGTGATCCATATGAGAAACAGAAAATACACGATTATTATATGTTTATATTTTCTGTTCATATGTTCTTTGAGAGTTGAATACATAAATGTATGATGTGATTTATTAAACCGTCACAATTTTTCTTACACAGCATAATTATGTTGTGATTTGTTTGAATAAATAAGTCACACGGTGAGTAGAAATTAATTTTTTTATTCATTGACAACAAGTATTAATACAGTAGCTGCAGAATTACCAAACACTATTTGCATGTACAAGAATTTAGAAAAAGAAATTTTAAGAAGACATTTGCCCAGAGGGCAGCTGTCAGCTTTATGCAGGTTACACATAGATTTACACACTCTGCTCCCAGGTAAGTCACCTAGTATGATAGCCACAACCCTAATAATCCTATTTGGATGATATGAGTCAGTGGCAGAAACACAATCATATAATAATGAAAAACAAATCAAAAACCCAAACAGACAACTTAGTTTAAAACCCTTCTAGCAAAATAAGTTTTTTAAGTTATGGAAGCTGCTATAGCGTCTTCTCTCTAAGATCACACATTATGCTGCCAATGTAAGAATATATATATGAACACAAAGGCTCCTAATGCTTGGATGAATAATTGCCAGTTTAATTATTCTACCTTTAAGGCTTTTTTCACTGCTTGAAGAATTCCTTTGTCCTGTTCTGGAAGCTTTTTCCAATGATGATGTAGAGAATGGGGTTAAGGACACTGTCAAAGAAGGCTAAGCACACACAGACCAAATCGATGATTTCCAGCATGATGTGACATTTCTGACTGTCAGTGTTTTCGAACACAAGTGTTTTCACGCAGAATATCACCCTGCAGATCAGGCATGACAGTACAACTGCCAGGATGAGAGTCGTGGTCTTCTGCTCTGTTCTCTCAGGTTTTAAAAACCCCATTCGCTTTTTTCTCAGAATTGTAATAATTCTGACAGAACAGAACAAAATAATGATAACAGGGATGATAAAGCTGAATATTATGTTTCTCACCTCATACAGCAGATATTGATTTTGTGAAGTGGAGTCGACTATACATTCAGTAATATTTGACTGAGGGTTCAATTTTACCTTACTGTAGATGAATATGGGGAAAGCAAAGACCAAACCAAAACTCCACACAAACAGACATCCCAGTTTGGCATAAAATGGCCTGCTCATCAACTCGTGGAAAAGTGGGTGCACCAGTGCCACATAACAATCTAAGATAGCCAGAACAAGAAAGTAGATATTGCAAAATAAATGCATTCTCACACCAGCTTGTACCAGCATGCACAGGCTTTCACCAAAAGGCCAGTCAATGCTTAATCTTACATCATCAGTCCAGAAGGGCAAACAGCACATCAGAACAAGATGAGTTCCAGTCAAGTTGCTCAAGTAGATCTCAGTCACAGTGCAGGCCTTCTTGTGGAGGCAGAAAACCATCAGCACAAACGCATTAAAGATGATTGCAAGCAGGCAGATGACATAAACTGGAGCCAGAGTGAAGTCATTGTCAACAAAACAATGCTCTTCACTTGCGTTGCTTTGGTTTCCGGACATCTTCAGTGTCAGGAATTAAGTTGGCAGGGATGCTGGAGTGAAATAAAGGATACCAAAATAGAAAACATAAATATAATTTTAACTGGTATTGTTCTAACATAATTTGTTATGATGACAGAAAACATAGATACACCTAATTCTGAATAAGACTGATATGTAACTACCCGGCTTCAGACCCCGAGCGACTTGAATTGGATAAGCAGAAGAAAATGGATTGATATATAGTATTTGATTCAGTTTTAAAGACCATCATCATATTAGAAAACATGCATAACCAATGCACATTTTACATCATATTTAGAGCTGAGCGTGCTTTCCAGCATCATAGAGTCATCACCAATGCACCAGTTACGTAAAACAAGTTCACAAGTTTAGTATTCCCATCCTCACATTTACAGACAGTTTAAAACAATTTAAATGTGAATTTATTATATGTTTTGGGGGGCAGTCTTTATTAAATACATTTTCGTTTGTGTTAAATACATTACTATAAACGTTCTTACTGCATGAGGCTGAATTTGATCAAAACACAAAACATGCTGAGACAAACATGCTGAGACAAAATCAGTTAATCTGCCGTCTACTTGTCGACACGTTACTGTACATCTAAGAACATCACTGCTTCTAAAACCTGTGCAGCTGTTAAACTGAAGAAATTTCCTTTTTTATACAGATAGTGCCAAAAGGTCAAAAACACTGTTCCTGATGGACAGTGATTTAGACCTTGCAAATATTCCAACTAAAGGTAAAGACATAGGAAAGTAAATTCCAAGTCAAATTAAGCGTTTACATACCTTGCAGGCAAATTAGTCTGTGCTCCTGATGGAAAAAGAGCAAACAGCCAGCTACACTCTCTCAGTACCTTCTGCTACAGTCTTCTTTCTGAAACGCTTAATTTAAAGAAGAAACTAAACTGATAGTCAAGTGATTTCAGATAAGAGAGACATCACACCCAGTCTATGACCACTTCCTTGACTCTTCAATGAAGTACTTAGTTAGTTTTTTTTTTTTTTTTTTTTTTTGCGCCTGTCCCGTTTGGCTCTTTTGCCATCAGAATTGTTGTCTAAAGGCAAAGAAAGATGCCCAACGGATTTACTTTACCAAATTGACCATCCCAGCCTTGCCGTAATGGTCCATTTGATTCACCTTTTATTGTTGATTTTATTTTCACTTACTGAATACGGGACAGACTTGACTGGGGGAAAGAAGGGGAGAAAGAAAGAGGGAAAGAGAAACAGCTGAGAAGAGGGACGGGAGAGAAGGGCAAAAGACAAAAACCAACAGAATGAGCAGAAAAAAAAAAGCATACATCAATCACCTGGATCACCTGCTGAGAAAGAAAAAAGAAAACAAGCAGAAGAGAACAAGAGTAATAGAATAAACAACATCACAATGATATATGGGAATATGACAGTAAATACTAAATATTAAACATTATTGTGCAGCACATAAGATCAACAGAACACAGTGTGCTTTGAGGTAGGAGCCAAAAAGGGTGTAGTTTGTGGGTGTGATCACCCGTGTGTACACCTGTGAGCATGGACGCGCTTGTTTTTTGTTTTTTAAAAGGTTCCTTCATGTAATGATCTGCTAGAGGGTGTGGGGGGGCCACAGCCCCGTCCTCCAGGGCATGAAGCAGGTATGGAGGAGATCAAAACTCCAGACATCCAGAGGCCCCCAGAACACTAGAGACCAAGGAAGACCAACAGAGGGGCAGCCGCGCCACTGTCCCAGAAAGAGCTGAGGAGAGTCCCAGATGAGGGCTCACTCAGCAGCCGCGGAGCAGAAGCCAGGGGGAGTTGCAGTGACGCGCCCGTGAGCTCCGCCGGCAGCCAGCCGTGCCTGAGTGACCGAGCCCCAGGCCGAGAGGCCGGGGGCACCCCACCTCCGAAGTGGCCCGAGCGAGCCCCAGGCTCCAGGCCCCGATAAGCGGCCGCCAAGTTGTGAACCGGTGTGTACCTGGACGCCCATCCCCGGACACAAAGAACCACCAACGCACCGATGTCTGAGGGAGTCCGCCACTGGCAGGGGAAGTGGTGGTAGGGGGAGATAGGCCTCCATACCTTGGAGGGCCTAAGATGTCCCCAGAGAGGTGGCGCCTGACACCCAACCTGACATATAGACACAGAAATACAGGCACACACATACACAAACATCCATTCCCACCCTCATGCTCTCATATGCACTTCCTCCACACTCAACCAACGTGGAGACAGACATAAAGAGACGCTGTACACACGATCACACTCCCCAAGCATACTCTACAAACCGGGTCTAGGTACCCTTGCCCCTGGAGGGGGGGAACTGCACCCAGACCCAGGTGGTGTTACCCTTTTCCCTGCGGTGGGGGGAGGCAGACCGCCCCGACTCCGCAGCAGCAGGGAGGCCCCACACTCCAGACCGCAGTCGGACGGCCAACTCCTCCTCCTAGCCCCCCCGCTCCAGCAGGTCGCAGAGAATGGGGGTGAGAGAAGACTACAAACCTCCCTCCACCCGCTCATTGTAGTGTTGATGCATGTGTGTTCTAAGGTGCAATTAAAACCCAGGAGGGCATGGAGCTACCTGCCAGAGAGCAGCAGGTAAGCGCATGGTCCCTCCTGCTAGCCCTCAATGTCTACGTGTATTTAACATTGAGAGGTGGGCAACGACGCCAGGGGTGGGGTGTACACCCTGATGGTACTTTGGATTCCGTGTATCGTGCCCACCCTCAAGATCCTATATGTATGTGTAATGAGAGTGTGAGTAATGTGAATGTCTAAGTTGTGGGATAAAATTGAGGCAGAGGCAGCCAGAAGGGGACGGGGGGGGGGGGGGGGGGGGGGGGGGTAGCCTCCTCTGCACCCTGGTGACATACCCCTACTCCAAGGTCCTGCACGTGTGGGTGGTTGTGGTGGAGCGGGAAGAGGGAGGCAGCTGGAGATGGGAGGGAAGGAAGGGAGGGGCGAGTGACCCCTCCCTGGGCCAGCTCCCCCGCTGACCCCAGTAGGCACCCCCATACTCCGCGACCCGCCAGGGAAAGGGGGCCCAGGCCCATCCAGACCGGGGCCCAGTGCAGCAGCGCCTCCCGGCCCCACAGAGCCCGGGACAGTCCACCCAACCCCACCACAGAGAAAACTGCACCCACCCCACCATCCACTCATCTTCCAGACTACATAAGAAAATAAACACCCAGGCTGAGATCTTCCTCCACCTCTCCTGTGTCTCCCCCTCCTTAGTTACTTCTAAAAATGTTTTTCTCTGGGTTGATTTTATTAACAAAAATGACCCTATTATGGACAGAGAAAATTTTCCATTTATTAACTTAATGCCAACATGTTAGACGCTGTCGTTATCGATTAAAATACCAATACGGGACTTACTCTGCTGTAAGAACACAGGTGGGGAACAGAACAGAGCTGAGGTAAGTCAGGAAAAAGGAAAGGGCAGAGAAAGTGAGTAAAACTAAATGACATGGGCAGAAACAGAAACTTTAAAAGTAAAGACAGGAACTGATGAAAGGGAGCAGACAAACCAGAATACATACAAACCAAAATGGTGCGATAAGACAGACTGAGCACGACACGAGGAGACATAATGACAGAGACAACTAGATACGAGAAAAGGGAAGAAGCTAAATGCAGCCTGAAAGTCACCAGTAACAAGAGCTAAGAAGGTCTCAATTAACAAGCATATATAATAAATTATACAGAATACACACAATTAGAAGATAATATTCAGCCTTCCAATTTTATTTGAATGGTGCCAAATCACAAAAACAGTCACCTCAAGGTGTGTTTATATTATAAGGTAAAAGACGCTAAGATAAGTACAAAATAAGCCTTGCAAATTACAATAAATGTATAGAAGAATCACAGGGATATAATACCACACCTAACAAAACTATAAACAAAACTACCTTTCAAAAACGAAGAGCAGAGATTTTAATTAATCTCCAAAATATTCATGAAAAACCTCAAAACAGAAGATGACACTTTATGCATAAAAAGCAGATATTGATTCAATATTAAATGCCTGCCCCCGTGTTAATGCAATTAAATAATCCTAGACATAATTGTTGCAAAGGACTTGAGTTGAATAAATACTCGATACAATAAGTTGAAGAAAACAAAATTTAGATTCTTTGATAAGAAGTAATAAAACTGTCGCTGACACTATTTGTTTCCAATAATTAAACAAAGTAGAACTCACTTTTTTCTCTTTTGTTTTTTCTTTTTGAATACTTTTTATTTTATTTGCTTCTCTGTCCTTGGTCTAGAGCATGGATGCAAGCTGCAATTATTGCAGTCATACATGTTGTAAACTTCCGTAATACAACAGGGCCACCCTAACTGTACATTTGGATTATATGTGCAAATGACAGGAACATATTCATCTTGCACAGAGGACAAAAAATGTGTTTCTCTATTGGAAAACACTGATTGACTGTTCCACAAATAACACAATTTAAAACAGCAGCTGGTTGGGGCTTCTGTGCTTACAGCCAGAGCTGTGTGCCTGAGAAGATCCTATCAAGGATATCCATCATCCATCATGGTGGTCATCCTGTGTCTTTCTGTGTCTGCTTTGTGTCTGCTTTGTGGGCAGAGCATTGGTTCCTCACCTGTTCTGCTCACCTGCTGATGACAATCAACGAGGCAATACTTAAGGGCAGGGCATCTACTCATCTACTCTGTGCCAGTCTGTCAGCTATCTCATGGTGGTAACCAGGCTGTATCTTTACGTCTGTGCTCTGTACTTATCTTGATTTCCTTGTGTCTTCAGTTTCTCTGCCACTTCACTGCTTAACACACTCCTAGCTCAAGTCTCTGGATGCTGGTCACTTTGGCAAAATTCACTGAATTGCCTCTCACCTTCTTCCCGTCACTCTTGGATTCTTGGAAACAAGGCTGAATGGGCAAATGGGATTTAGAAGGGTTCTAAAGAAGGCTTAGTATGCAGAATCTCAGTATTTATTCTGTCGAGTACATCTAGTATCCTGCTCATGGGAGAATGGGCACCCA